GCTATAACATAATGAAAGGAAAGGACACAGACTTTCACTTTCTTATTCTTGGTCCTACAGGATGAAATAGCCTGTAGATGGGACGAAAAAAAAACTTTCTGCAGGCAAACCGACTACTTAATTTCAGTAAAACCAAGTGAAGTCAAGCCGACTACTTATCTCCAACCAGACTACGTGGCACACGCGCGCGGACGAACACACACACACACACACACACACACTGCAGCTAAACGGAATTTATTTCTTTCCTTTATTCTGAGGTCTGTTATACATCTTTACAGACAAATATTTTCTTTTTTTTTAAATTATGCTGTTTTATGCATAAATATATAAAAAAATACCCTACACCTGTTGAATTCATTTATTTTAAAAGATTTCAATTTATTCCCGTGACAAGTTCCAACCGCACCCATTATTTTTGTTTAAAAATATGACAAGAGATAAATTTTGAACTCCCCAACGGTTACATTAATATAATTATGCAAGGCGGGTAAATACGTTTTTGAAACCAATGACGAGTTTTTATTCCTTGTGTTCCGACGACGTCAATTTAAGAGCCTTACTGGATTGGCATCTAGGTCCCACCCTTTTACTGCTAAGATAGCTAAATGCAACCACCACATTTACCCCAACAGCAATCACCATCTTCTGTCTTCTTGAATCCTGTCCATCTTTTATCCTTTCTTCAATCCTCCCTAGTCTCAGATTTTTCTTTTACTTTCCCACCTCCTGCCTACTAGTGGTACCCCCGTCTTGCTTGGGGTGAAAAATAAGGATAATATAATATGAAATTGTGAAATAAGGTATTTTTAACACTAAATATCTAAATTTAATATGAAAAAAACATGAAGTGAGGTAAAAAACTTTTAAAGAAGAAAATCTTTAGTTTTGTACAGGGTGACCAAAAAAGAAAAAAAAGAAACAGAACCCATGAAAATTGTAATAAATCCTACAAAGGTCCAGTTAATTTCAAGAAACTTGGCGGGTTTGCATTTCAGTCTGTGTACGATCGGTGGGGGGTGCACTTCAGTGTGTGTACGATCGTTGTTGGCTTTGAACTTCAGTCTGTGTACGATCGTTGTTGGTTTGCACTTCAGTCTGTGTACGATCGTTTGTGGATTTGCACTTCAGTCTGTGTACGATCATTGGTGGGTTTGCACTTCAGTCTGTGAACGATCGTTGGTGGGTTTACACTTCACTCTGTGTACGATTGTTAGTGGGTTTGCTCTTCAGTCTGTGAACGATCGTTGTTTGGTTTGCACTTCAGTCTGTTTACGATGGTAGTTGGTTTGCACTTCAGTCTGTGTACGATCGCTGTTGGGTTTGCACTTCAGTCTGTGTACGATCGTTGGTTGGTTTGCACTTCAGTCAGTGTACGGTCGTTGGTTGGTTTGCACGTCAGTCTGTGTACGATCGTTGTTGGGTTTGCACTTCACTTTGTGTACGATCTTTGGTGAGTTTGCACTTCAGTCTGTGTACCATCCTCTATGGGTTTGCATTTCAGTCTGTGTACGATCGTTCCCCCAAAGTTTTAGTTTTGCATAAAAGTCACGTTCTTTCTAAAATTTGCTCCCAATGGACTCGGCGGCGTTGGAAGCAAGCTTGCAAACGTTGCGCAAAATTAATAAATTACTCGGAATAATTCCTCATTGGGGATTTCCCTGATTTTTACTATGATTGCTGCCTTTCGTTCACCAATCGTTTGAGGGTTGTTCTGGTACACATTATCTTTATGATAACCCCACGAATAGAAATCTGTGGGGTTCAAGTGCGGTGCCCACTCAACGTCACACTTCCTACTGATCAGTCTCTCCTGAAATCGCTCTTTCATCCAGGCTGGGGAGTCCTTTGATGTGGGAGTCGTCTTGATGGAACCACTTTTCATTTCGATCTATCCCTCTGTATTGTTCCAGTGATGCCCAAGCTGCCTCAACACTGCCACATAGCGCTCGTATTCATTTTTTGAGGTCTCTCGTTTTCCCCAACTGGACTCTGAACCATGCCACACAAGCAGGATAACTCAGTCATGGATATCAGACAATTTCTGCGACCACACCACGTATGGTCGCCTAACTCTCCAGAGTGCAACCTCCTTGATTATTATGTTTGGGACGCAGTTGAGCGAGAGCCCGCCAAAGCTCCTTGCAACACCAAATATTAACTGAAATCAAGGATTATGGTAGCATTCATTTGTTTAAATTAAACAAGGAGTCCGTCCAGAAGAGTTGCAGGATATTCTGAAGTCTTCTGTGGCTGTGGTTGTAGCCAATGGTGATATTATTGAATACTTTTACTCTTTAGTATTTCAAGATATTTTGTGCCGTTTTGGTAAATATATCTGTCAAAATGTGATATCAGTGTTCTTTTCCATTTTTGCGTCATTTAGGCGACAATTTATCCATTGGACCCTGTAAATTATCGGTTTCATTTTTTTACAAATTCGCACCATTCCTTCTAAAATAAAGGTTTTGTTGTTTAAAAGAGCTAAAGAGAGAGGAAGATATGGAGGGCAATGATCGCCAACATCCCGAAGGGATACGACACAAAAGATCCTGTCGATTCCGAAGTCGTCTAAAGTTGAGTTTATGTCAGATATACTCTCGTCTAGCACTGCTGTTTTTTCCTGTTCATTTTTGTCAGTGTCGATCTTATTTCATCTTTTAGTATGACTAGCACTGTATTTTTCAGCGTAAGTTTCTCTGTCACATCGTGAAAAAGTTCTTTGATTTACTTGTTCCAATTTTGGCGTATTCTTTCTAAGATACATGTTTAAAAACAAAAAAAAATATCTGTCTATATTTCTGAGATGAGGTATTATGTACACTATTTATATTATTCGCACTATTGTCCTCATCTTTGTCGCCATATTTATTACAACGTTTTGGCCGTTGTACCCACTGGCCTTCTTCCGGTGGTTGGAATGTCGAACTGAACCCTTTATTTCGCTAACTGGGGTAGAATGTTCTAGTTTCACGTGCCATGTTTAATGGATGTCAGTTATCAGTTATCTCCTGTTAATTCCCCTCTCCAAGTTCTCCACTGCCTTAACCGGGTATTGAATTTGAGGACACATGGCACAGTGGATAAATGTGTTAGTTGAATCCAGTGACAGGACCCAAAGAATGTGGATTCAATACTCGCATGGTATTTGAAGTATTGAATGATAATGACAAGGAAACACGTATTATATTTAACGAAACAAGATTAGAAATTTATTCAAAATTTATACATTTGAAGTTGTCAGTAGCTTGTTTCAGGGAAAAGTATCAAATATTAAAGTTCGTAGTTTCGATGAAGAAATGTTCATATTAAATCATCGGATACAAAGTAATATTCCACAATGATTAAAACAAATTAAGATAGTTCGTTTTTCACATAAAAGTTATTCTGTTGTATTCCACATGAATGAAAAGATATATTTTAGGGTACTTAGCTTTGGAGTTGAATAAAGTTCTTTGATATTTCCCTGTTCTCATTAGAGGCTGATAATGTATCAACGTGTAATTTGACTCCGACGTTATTCAGATGCGTGAAACACTGGTTTTCTGCTTCCTACTTCTTTCTGCTTTTTTTATCTCCCCCTCTCTCTCTCTCTCTCTCTCTCTCTCTCTCTCTCTCTCTCCCTCTCTGCCTTGATTCAACTTTTTCCTGCCTATTTATATCAAAGAGCAATTTCACATGGGCTGGTTTTTTTTTTCTTCAGTTTTTAAGCCGCTCCCTTTTCCCGCGGTGAAAATAAATTTTCACGTAGGCTCGGTCTTTTCTTCAGCCCGAAGCCAACCCCTTTTCCAATTGGTCAAAATAAATTTTCGCACAAGCTCGCGATTTTGAAAACAGTAGAGAAAAGAGGGTTATATATATTTCGTATTCACCACATATTTTTTAGACCTTAAACCATGATCAAGTTTAGATGAGTTAAAGTTTTAAAAACTAAAAGCTGATATGTCACCTAAATTTACAGAATTTTATGTTATTTTCACTCTCAAACATTGTTTATTTCGAGCGATTATTTCATATTTGCTGAGGCAGCATAAATCAAAGTGAGGCGGCACAAAACAGAAAAGACGGTGGAAACGGATTAAAAAGAAAAGAATAATATGAAAAAAATTGCCATGAACAAAAGGAAAAGAGAAAGATGTCAGGGAGGAGACTAATTAAGAAAGTGCCAAAAAAATGCAACGCAAAAGGAAAATCAAACATAAAAAAAAAATTTTCAGGGGAAAAAAAGAAACAAGTTGAAATAAGAAATTAGTAGAAATTTCGACAAAGTGACGCCATTTTAATAGTGACGCTCCAAGACATCTTAGAGCGAAAACGAGGCTCCAGCTATGAATATTTTCTCCAGTCTGGTTATATTAATATAGTTATTATATTTGCGCTTGATTAAGAAATCGAGTAGCAGGAAATCGTAAGAGATTTAGTTTGGGTGTGGCATGGGTATGTGCAGAAAAGGTGCATCATGTAATAATATCTGTTAAGACAATTCTTCTTATAAAAAATTCACATGTTCTGAAATAAAATTTATAATAAATATATTGCATAAATAATGTAAGAACCAGTAACAGAATTGTGAAATTGCATTTTTTTTCCTTAGAAAAAGAATTGTAGAACGATGCTACAGCTGATGTTAATATTGCACTATTAAACGCTTATCTTGACCCATCAGTAAAGACACCAATATCATCATCACCAGAGAAAAAAATCATTGGTAACGCCTTCATTTCTAAAGTCGTATATAATCACGGTTCTTCATGGCTTCGTTTTTGCTCCCCCCCATTTCTGTATATGTTCCCTACCCAGCGTAGCCGTGACTTCAACAACATGGCTTCAATGCTGGTGGTTTTCGTCTGTTCGAGGACCTCAACGTTGGTGACGTAGTCATTCCAGTGAATGTTGAAGATTCTACGGAGATAGCGCTGATGGAAGCGCACAAGGAGTCGTAGGTGGCGGCGGTTGGTTACCCAGGACTCAGAGCCGTACAGCAGTGTGTTGAGTATGACGGCTCTATAGACGCTAATCTTAGTGTCCTTCTTCTGATGCTTGCTGTTCCAGGCTCTCTTGTAGAGTCTGCCGAAAGCGCTATTTGCCAAGACCAGTCTGTTGTCTGCTTCTCTGTCGATCTTGGCATCCGATGTGATGGTACACCACAGGTAAGTGTACTGGTGAACTGCTTTCAGCTCAGTCTCATCGCCGATAGTAATGTGAGAGGGCGGTACTCTTCTCGAGGTACGTGCTGGTGGAGGAGCCTCGTCTTCTTCAAGCTGATCTCGAGTCCGAAGAGCCGGGCAGCCTCGGCAAAGTAGTATGTTCAGCGCCGCAGGGGGTCTTAAAAAAAACAACGCAGTTAATACATTAGATACTAACCGTAATGATTCAGACCATAACTTAAATTTAAAAACGCAACTTTACTTAATAGAGAAAGCAATTTGCTAAAGCGAAAGTCTATAGGAAGTGCTTTGACCGCGAGATCATCCGACCTAAATTTACGTCTAACTTCTTACAACATTTCACGTTTCTTTTATCACGATGTGGCATACTTAACAATAAAGGCATACGAAAACGCAAGAAAATCGGCTAGACAATATAGTGAGACACGTCTAACAATATTTTTTGTAATCATTTCACCCCAAGCAAAGCAATAAACTACTAAGACACAAGTGTTTACTTCGTGATAGCGAATATGAAAAAAATATACTATTAAAGAGAGAAAACGTGAAATAAGAAAACAGACGAATGATATTGCATTTAAATTTTTGAAGATTAAAGTTGACTGGGAAACAAGAAGCCGGAAGACAGTTCCAAAAGAGGGAAGTGCGATAGAAGAAACCTTTAGTATAGAACTTACGGTTATATCTAGCCCTTTCAACAGTAAAATGATGAGACCTTGCCGCCAATAGAGTACTGCGCTTAAATTCATAAAGTCTAGATACCATACGAGAAAGTTGATCAGAACAATTACCATGGAATTAATGTAACAAAAAGCCCAGGGAAGCTACGTTATGGCAATGGGAAAGAAATTGAAGACGAGATGCCAGGGTAGGGCTAATAACACTGCAGATTCTTTTCATTTTACAACAGGATCGGCGGACGATATATGACAGCAATATTCAAAGCAAGCAAGAATGTTGAACTCATAAATATGTAAAATAGATTCTGGTGAGAAAAATTGTCTAGCTTGACATAGCGAACCAATTTTCTTAGCTGTAGACTTAGCAATTGATTCGGTAAACTCTTTCCACTTCATTAGATTTAACTATTTTAAAATTAAATTATTTAAAATTAAATTAGATTTAAAATGTCAGCGTTCTTCTCCTTTATTTAAAACTACATTAAAGTTATAAATATGATTCAAACCAAGACAGACACTTGCACTTTACTCGGAGGTCACCAATCGGTTTAAATATGTTTAAAGTAAAATAGGCTGTGATTTACCGAAACTTAATGGAACCACGCCATGTTCATTATGGTAAAAAATTAAGTGATCGTGTGCTACAGAGAAATAAACACCACCTGTGGCTTCCTGGTGAATTGAAGTGAATGGAGTTCAAATGCTTACTTGTAATTTTGTCCGGGTTAATAGAGATACCAAAACATCAGTTACTTGTAAATCGGTTGTATATCTGTAGAAAAATGCGCAAAAGCGGATAGTAATGAAACATTTGCGTGGGCAAAAGGCACATTTATAACGATAGCACAGATGGTGTGGCGTTACCTGGAGGAAAAAAAAGTTTCGCTAGAGCGAGCAGATTAAATATCCTTTGATTTTAATTAATACTGGTTGTAGATGCCTGCTTCTTTGCGTCGTTTGCAGTATGTTAGAAAGATACGTCAATTAAACGTTGCACACGAAGACCGATTTTGAGCATATATACTTTTCAAATTACGGATTATCTTACCAGCAGTATTGGCTTACTATTTACAAACAGATTGGAACATTTATGCGCAGATTTTCATATGATCCAATGCCGAGTTTTATAGCTGTCTGATTGATTTTGAAAGGCCGTCTTGGAAAGATCTCGCAGAAAGATGAAATTTCTTCCATAGCATATTTGTAAAAATACGAGTGTATCTTTAAAATTTACCTACAGATTCAAGAATAAAAACCTACCAGCGTTTATCTCTGAGCTCAAGTATAAAACTATTTGCATAATCTCAAGTATAGAGCCATCAAAGTTTAAATATAAACCCAAATATAAACTCTACCAATGTCTACCTATAAACAAGAGTATAAACCCAAGTAATATTTGCCCATAGGCTCAAGTATAAAACTGTTTAGCTATAGACTTAAATATAAACCGTAACAATATTTACCAAGAGGCACAAATATAAACCCTGTTATTGTTTCCCTATAAATTCAACCCTAACCCTAAACCTAACGACAAACGTAAGCCTGACCCCGCCTAACTCTAACGTTATAAGCTTAAGGCAATATAGCATTGAAGCATTGGTTACTGTACGACCACCGAAGTTAAACAACGTCGAGCTTGATTATAACCTAGATGGGTAACCGCTTAAGAATACCAAACGAAGTAAGCTTGGGGGTGCGGGCGGTGTTATGGATAACGGTGCGGAGGGCAGAGTTCCAGTCCTACTTGTGTACGTTATATTCATTTACACGTAAATACCTGTGACAGGTATGAATCCAGCTTCGCCTCCCCCCAGATATGGGCTAATTAGTAAAAACTGTATCACTGAAATATAATAATCTACAAAAAATAAAAATAAAATTGCGTACAAAATATTTATACTTCGGCATTAAATAACCAGGTTGATATACTGCTAAACAAAGTCAACCAACCAACAGTACCTATTTGTAGTAAAATGACCAACAATACATTTAATAGCGAAATGACCGACAATACATTTTATCTGTAGTTGAAGGTATATAATTATGTGCCAAATTATATTTAGTTGAAGCCATGACGGTTTCGAATTCAGTGGTTTTCTTTCTCCAAGACAAGGTTATAGAAACCTGTCTATCCTGCTATCTACCCATAGCAGGGGAGAGAGAAGAAGAGGATTCATACCTTTCCCAAGAGTATTAGCATATAAGTGAATGTAAGGGATCCGACTAGAATTCGAACTCGGCTCTCCGATTCCTCAACCCGAGCCGCTATTCATTACTCCACTGGGCCTCCCATACATCACGTATATAATCTGACTGATGCCAAATCGGCTTGAAGCAATCGGATGTCTAGCCCCACTGATGAAACTGTCTGTATATATATATATATATATATATATATATATATATATATATATATATATATATTTAAGCAATTCACCCCAAGCAAGGCGGGAAGCCACAAGGACGCAATGGGGTTACAGAAAATTTAGAGCAAGATCAGATAGGAGTGATAGAAGAAAGGATGAGGATAGTGGATAGATCAAGGCAACTGGAGATGTCGATTGACATTACACTTGAATAGCTGGAGATTATAGCTCACAGGGAAACAGGAGAATGGAAGGGAGTTCCACAGGCGAGAGGTGCAAGACATGAAGCTATTAGAGTAGAATAGACGGCTATATTTAGGAGTTTCGACAGTGAAGGGGTGAGAGCGGGATACCAGCTTCGTAGGGCGCTGGAACTCATGAAGTCTGGGAACCAGCGAATGCAGCTCCTCGGAGCAATTTCCATGAAAGTATTTGTAGAACAGACAGAGGGAGGCGTCTGTGAGAAAGTGACTGTAGACGAGACGCCAGGGCAGGGCCAACCACATTGCATATCCGCCTCTGGAGCCTATCAAGAACCCTGAGGCAAACAGAAGGGGCACCAGACCATATATGGCATCAATACTCCCTGCAAGGGCGAATTGTGGATTTGTAGATCTGGAGGATCGACTCCGGGGAGAAAAACTTCCTGGCGCGGCTCAGGGAGCCAACTTTCCTTGCAGTGGACGAGGCAATTGACTCGATGTATTTATTCCATCTCAGGTCAGCGGTCAACGTGAGACCGAGAAGCCGCAGAGAGTTGCTCTCGAGAAGTTGAGCGTCAAACATTCTAATGGAGAATTAATAGAGAGCAGTTTTATCTTATAAGCTTTGAAGTTGACCAGCCAATTCATGCCCCAGTTCACAATCGATTGGAGGTCTTTTTCGAGACGCACGGCCAGGTGAGTTTTGTCAGCGAGACTAGATTTGTTTTTGAGGCAGGAATAAATTGTGGTGTCATCCGCGTAGATGCCAACTTATATATATATATATATATGTTTGTGTGTGTGTCTTCAGAGAGAAATACCTCCTACATACACCATGACCACTAATGTCATACCATTATGTGGGAGGTAGTTCCGGGAAGAATATGCGTGAGGTATTTCTGCCAACTATCTCTCTCTGTTTCTCTATCTGTGTGTCTCTCTGTTTCTCTCTCTGTGTCTCTCTCTGTCTCTCTCTCAATATATATATATATATATATATATATATAGAGAGAGAGAGAGACAGACATACAGACAGACCGACAGATAAGAGGAGGAGGAGAGAGGAAGAAAGAAGTCAGATGCAGATCAATCATTCAATCATATATATATATATATATATATATATATATATATATATATATATATATATATATATGTATGCATGTATGTATATATATATATATATATATCAATGAATAATGAATGCTAAAATGTTGAAACCCCTTCTGAAAATCTGTTCAAATGTCCCAAAACGTCATCGTCAAACCAGGAATCTTTCAATACTTTATGCACAAATGAATGTAAATCATCAAAATGCTTCCCAGGGAAAATAGCTGAGGAGTAGTCAGAGGATTAGAGAGATTCGTCCATGAGAAAGCACTTGTGGGTTGAAAAATAATTCACCCCCCCCCCACCAAGAGGCAGCGTTTTGAACTCTATCAAGACGGCAAGTGAAAAATGAACATCTTCATCCTAGGCATGGCACCAGTGCACCACTAACGGTTTTATCTGACTCTTGTGAATATACAAAAGCAGAAAACAGGTACGACTGAGAAGAGAGCTTTAGGTTGAACGCCTGCAGTGATATCATGGTCTACAGAAAAATGGCCATTAAAAACGACCTTCTTTGACCGAGCCGTTAAGAATGGTGTGAGAATTGAGAAAATCCTTCCAAGAATTTTATAGCTGGATTGATCGTGTAGCAACCCGCTATGGGACAACTTGTAAACGGGCTTTGGTATATCTAAGGCTATAGTACCAGTGTTAACTTATTAATCACTGCCTCGCTGAATATGTAAGTAATAAGAGCTAGGACATTAACACATTTTTAATCGTTTCACATCAAGGAAGGGAATGATGTCACTAAGACGCAGGAAATTACATGGTATAAATGAATGAAAATGAGAATACTCAGAATGGGGATGATTGAGGATAGCATCAAACGGAATAGGGTTAAATAAAACGGAAGATGACGATTGGTATTGCAGAAATCCTTACTCTCTGTCCATGAGCTTATTCAACAATTTTCTTGATTATTAAAGACTCTAAAGCGTTTACAGACGACACTAAGACAGATAATGGTTCGATATTGCAATGGCGAAGAGGGCTCATCCGTATTATTGAAAAAAGGGCATACAGCTGCCACATTCCATAGACTTCAAAAGCATTTCTCATTCAGGCAGCGGATAAACAATTTGACCATGTATGGAAATGACACGAGGCTAATGTTCTTAAGAACAACCACTGGAAATTTATCCGGGACGGTCGCCTTCTTATCGGCAAGTCTTTTTCCCAGTCCGGAAAACTACCTGTGCTCTGATAGAGATATTGGAAAATACATTCTTCTTGAAATGCACGAAGTCAGTAAAGCGTTGGCCTTATTATTTAATACAGAATTAGCGGAAAAATATGATCTCATTTGGATAACCTTTAAATAACAGAATCAAAATCTCATTAAGCCATGATCAGAGACAAGTAAACGGAGCAGCTCAAACTCCCTCTCTAGGAAAGAAATCATTATAATCATTGAAGAGATTGTTAACAGATCACAACATCTATCAGAAATTTAAATTTTTATTATTACATTATTCCAAAATTTTATCACATCAGCGGATAGCTATTAATGTCAACAACTGAGTATAAATAGTTATTAATTAAAACAATTAGTAATTAATGTATAATATTATCCATAATTACATGTACAAGAATGTCGTTTTTGATAAAAGTTAAAAATAACCATGCGTATATTGTCGAAAATTCCCTTTTCCACAATATAGCTATTTGTGCTATGTTAAAATGCCTATTAAAATATTATTATTAACAATAATAATACTAAATAATTTTTTAATAAAAAATTAAATTATATTTAATCACATCTCCCTGATAGCTGTCACGATCTGTAAATATAATCACCGCAGTAATTTAACTTGTATTTCATTTTTTAAATTCCCAAAAACATCAAGTAAATTTGCGTTATTTTATTTTTCATTTTTTTTTTTAAATTCTTGCAGTATGGCTTCTTTTTCTATGAGTTTGCGGTTATATCATGTTGAAATACCGGCTGTCCTACGATCACCGAAGCTAAATGAAGTCGAGCCTGCTCAGTATCCAGATGGGTGACCGCTATGGATGTGCAAGTGATGTAATTAATAGCGTCTCTGAAATGGATGTCGGAAAGCCGAGTTCCATTTTTAGTGGGGTTCGTTACGTGCCCAACACCCTCAGAAAGAGGCATGAAACTATCCCTTCTCCCTGCCTCAGCTATCGTATCAGTAAATCATTATTTCCCATAAATTCGTAAAATCTAAAAAAAACTATATTCTGGCTTTAAATAACCTCCAAAAGATTGATAAGCCGTAAAAAACAAATCAGTCAAGCTTATTTTTCTAATTATATATTTTGATGCCAATTTCACACCACGTTAATCCATTTTCCTCCAATAAAAGTTCAAATAGAGGAGCAAACGGAGTCTCTTTAATTTTGGTGGTGGCCAGTCGAAGAGAAAGGCATATCTGAATACAAAACCGGGACGTATACTTTGGAAACTACACTCTGTTCCATTTCTCTATCATCAGTTCTTCCGAAGTAAAGATGATTCTTTAGAAACCTAAATATAATCAATCTTCTGCGTGGATATTTTAACAATTAAATTTTCAATTCTGAACGAAACTGTTCACACACACACACACACACACACACACACACACACACACACACACAGCAGAAAAACTTGAGAAAAGTGAAGAAAGAAAAAATCTTCAAACACACCTCTACGAATTTAAATAAAATTTATTATTTATTTGTTTTCTTTCAAGTTGAAAAAAAACGAGTTGCAAAGATCCCCGCAAAACAAATTCCCACAAAAATATTTTGGTTTTGATTTTACAGCACAACAGAAATAATTGCTTAAGTATGATAAGAAAAGCAGAATATACATGCTTAAATAGAAAATCACGTATTTACGTTGTTTTATGAATTCGTGTAATTTTCCAGCAGTAAAAAACGACAAGAAGCCACTTCAATATATCTGCTAAGAAGTCTTAGCATTTCTCAGAAAGAAGAAGCTTATATAGATCTATGATCACTTATGGCCTAAAGGGATTATATTATGGTCTTTCACATGAACAAAATTCTCCTTGAGTTTTTATTAAAAAATCCAATATTTTGTGCTCAATATTAACACTATCTGAACCATATCTGAGCTATTTATTATTTTCATAATTATATCATATAATTTACAGAAGCTGGGGAAGATAATTGAAACTAAAAAAAACATCGTGTTCAACATAAGCTTACGGAAACAAACATCAACCGGCGTTTAATCTCTTGTATTTCGTTTATTGTCCTGTTATTTTGGAGTATATATCACTAGTAATAAAAAATAAATTTATTATTTAATTCAAAAGGGAAAAATCGTGACTTCTATCATTGAATCTAAACGGAATCTGGTGTGTAAATTACTCTCTGTGTTTTATGGAATTTTAAAAAAAATGCTACATGTTATTAAGGAAGGCTACGGTTAGAATTTGCTTCAGTTAAATGACATTATTAGAAAAGAAAACATGCTTATTTAATAAAATGAAAAGATGTTTATTTAGTGAAAATTAAAAGAGCTTTATTCATGAAAAGAAAATCTATTTGTGTGAAGGAAAAGCTGTTTATTTGGGGAGTGGTAAGAGCTATTTTGGTGAAAAGAAAAGAGCATTAATTTTGAAAATTTCGAAAAGAAAATATATTTATGAAAAAAGAGTTTGATTTACGAAAGAAATGCGACTGATTTGCGAAATTCTTACCGCTTTATCTGCGAAAAGAAAAGACATCTATTCATGAAAAATAACTTTATTTGTGAAAAGAAAATGGCTTTGTAAAAAATTATCTCCCTCTTTCTATACATACATAACTTTGCATATATATATATATATATATATATATATATATATATATATATATATATATATATATATAATCCTAGTCGATGTTTCAACCTACTCGGATGTTTACAGACTTTTCTTACTTCTTCTAAATTTTTCCTGAGATACCAGTTTCTTTAAATACATTTTTATTTGCAAATTGTTTTTTTTATACTAGTCGAGTATAGGTATCAAAACTAACATAATATATATATATATATATATATATATATATATATATATATATATATATGAAAATTTTCTCAGAGTTAATATATATATATATATATATATATATATATATATATATATAATTAGGATCTTTTACCTTTAATCCAACATTAATCATATTTTAGTGGATACATGTGTTTGAGTAGACGAACTGTGATTTTTAAACAGTGTAAATTTAATCTGCCAGCCTGTATATTCGAGTGACTTAACGAAACAAAATGCATCGTTATGAAACTCTCGATAGGATGAGGCTTTTGAAAGTCATGGTTCGAATTTTATGTTAATATTTTGTTTTTTATAGCGCCTTGTGTTTTGACACAGTATCTCACAGAATGGTTGTATGAAATCTTATAAAACCAGGGAATATTTTATTCTGAGGACTTTATTCTGACGCTACGAAATTACACGACAAAACTAATTGTTGTCATAAAAATCTAGAAACGTTTGCATTATCCTACTGCATGGTAACTGTCAGTCGAACATCGGCATTAGGGTGAGTGCGATGTGACCTAAGTATATAAGAACTGACGACGTGCTGTTTGTAACTGAGTGTATCAGTGCGATCAGAAGTACATATGAACGTATCTGGGCATTGTGGAAAATGGTTAAGTGCGCGGATCTAATTCTGAGAGTATGACAGGCATATAGAAATAGGCGTTCAATATGCAATTGCTTTTTTTTTCTTAGTTGCCTTTAGGGAATCGTCGCTAATGAAAAAAGTAAACAGTCGGGCATATGTCAGATTTTTGTAATTGGATAGATCCACGGTATTAATGTTCCTATTGGTCCCACCCTTGAAGCGACAAGAGAGATAATGGCATCCAACAGGAAAGGGAAAAGGGATCACAGTTTTGGAGGAACTGAAATCCAGCAGAAAAAAAAAATGAAAAAAAATAAATAAATAAATAAAAATTCATTTTTGTTCGTTTGTTTTTAATTAATAAAAATTGGTATATTTTCCTTTTTCTTTTTTTCTTTGCAAGAAATGAAGAATTCGTCTTCCTCTTGCGGTCTTACTATGAAGTTGCGTTTTTTTTTTTTTAAATTAAGAACAGATCTACAATTTTAAAAATAAAGACACGTACGAAAATTGGTTAAGAACATTTGGACATAACGTGATATAAATGTGGCGTCTGGCACTTCGAAGTGGTGTAATAGCAAATTTATCCTACGAGATCAGTAACGACTAAGTAATGATTTCTATTCAGTGCTCCATACTTTCAGCCTTGAGCCACGTCTAAGCTACGTTTAGTAAATCGCTATAAGGCTAGCAGGACACTTAGATGTGGTGTAATGGTTGTCTCGCTAGATCAGTTACGACTAAGTAGTGAGTTCGTTTCTCACTTGATACACCATATTTTCGGCCTTGTGCCACATCTAATTTGCGCTTAATAAATCGTCATAAGATGAGCGGGCACTTCATTGTGGTGTAAAGTCTAGCCAGCCTGTCTCGCTAGATCAGTTACAACTAGGTAGTGAGGTCGATCGTCACTGTGCACCCCACTACATTCAGCCTTGTACTACATCTAAACTACGCTTAGTAAATCCCTAAGAGAGCAATGGTGTAACGGTTAGCAAGCCTGTCTGGTTAGAACAAATAAGAGTGAATTGTGAGTTCGAACATCACTGCGTGTTCCATACTTTCTGATTATTAGACCCGGGTTCGAATCTCACCATGGTCGATTTGTCAGGAATGAGTCTTCTTTATTTTATCGGCTTGAGGAGGGGATCGTAGCAATCACAATTTACAGTCGAGTTGGCTAGATGTAATCGTAAGTTCTATGCTAATATTTTCTGTAACTCTTTTCCAGTCAACTGTAATCTTCAAAAATTTATATTCTATGTCAATCGCTATCTGCTATCCTCCTGATTACTCTTGTTTTTTTCTAGTTCTGTTTTATTTTTTTTTTAATCTAATTCTTCAACACCCAGTAACCTCTTAGTGCCTTTACTTCCTTGTTTGGAGTAACTTCGATTACACACACACACACATATATATATATAATGACAATGAATCATTCACACAAAAAGTAGCTATATAAAAAATAAAATGGCGAAATCCCTTCGCAAAGAAATGTTAAAGGTGCATTAACCTACCAATCACTCGATGAATTTTATGATCCTTGTTTTTAAAAAATATAAGCTGTATAAGGTCTTTCTTTAATAGGCAAGCACTTTCAAGAAAAGCTAAGACTATTGGCTAATACCTGTCCAGTATCTTTTATATGCAAATAGTCTGCACCACCTACTCTAAGTAGGTCTTCTCTCAACAGCCCATTTTTGAAGGGGACGTAACTCCTGGTGTTTACTGCACCACGTACAACCAACTCGGAGTCTTTTATCTGGCTGACCAGATTCTCTGTTACAGTGCTCTCCGGCTTCTTCAGTTGTCTGGCAATCCATATATTCTTCCAAAAATTTCGAAATGAACGCTTTAATTTTATCTGCCGGTATAGATTGTTCTTATTCTGCTGTTCATGTCAGAAGATATTATCGTCTTGTTCCTGAATCAGTGACTGAGAGACATCTGAAAGAGGCCATAGCGCACAACGGCTAAACATTGTGATAATAACAACAAAGATGACGACAATAGTACGCATTAAAATGATATAAATAATGTGAACTCCTCAACTCATAAATTCTGACAGAATCAAGCTTAACTTTTTGACCTCTGCGTTCCTAAGCAATTTTAACCTTTCTCTCTGAGCTTCTCAAAATTTACAAATAATTGGTATGTAATGTTTCACGGTAGATATAAAAATAGTTACAAGTGTTTACCCACCGTTCAACAGATAGCTTGGCATTAATACATTTTTTCTATCATTTTTTAACCGGAAGAGTGAAAATTATCGTGTTGATACATATTATTTTATTCAAGTACTTTTGACATTAGCACAATATCATCACAAGGATGTTGTTTATTTCAAGACAAATATTGTAGTATTCATCATTTTAAAAGACAAAATTGCTGTGTTAATCTAATTGTTAAAATTTTTACTTGTAAAGTGAAGAACGCTGTGCGATTGGCTTGAGTAAGGCTTCAGGGGAGGTAACTAAGTTTTTAAGAAATAAGTATTAAAACCATTAGTACAAGACTCGATATTTTAAACTATCTACTGAACTAATTTTAAAACATTTGTGCAGTATTCATAATTAAAGTTTGGTTTCTATTTTTAATATAGATGGCTTCATGAATTTTTAGTTTATGTTTATTATTTTCATGACAATGTATAGATGTATTTTCAACAAGAATTTTTCTGAAATGGGGACAGTTATGCTTTTGTAAATGTTTAGAAATGTTGGACGCATCGTTCAAATGTAAACTCAACCGTCGAGACAACGTGGTCGTACCAAAGGACATTTAAATTTATATACAATGTTGGTTTTCTGCAAGACGTTAGTTGGTGGGGAAGACTCGTTACGAATGATGGAATTAGATATACTAGATTTAGTGTAGTATATAACTAATTTAAATTTTTTTTACTAGCGTCTGTGGTGAAAAAGTTTGCATTTACTAATTTTTTTTAGAATATTTCCGTCTTGCTTATAATTAAAATGTATTTGCTTGCGATATAAAATATTGATATGCTTAGTCATTTTGCTTTTGTATTCTGATAGAACATCTTATTTGTTCATCAATCATATAGTGAGCGATGTTATTATTAATAAGTGTTTGTTTTATATTTTTTAGTCCACCGTAAGAAAATCTGTTTTGTCGATTAATTAATTTTTGCACGGTTTATTAGTTTTTTTTATAATTGCTATTGTATAGTAATTTAGACATTCACTCGTATAGTTAAGGGTGAACGAATTTAGGCTGTTACTTTTTTATGTGGAGTGATAGTGAATTTAATCTTATTAGTGTTTAGTAATATATTTAGAAATATACTAGCATTTCTACAACATAACCAAGATTAAAACCTCTGAGCTTAACGAACCGCTTACGAACAATAGTTCCAGCTATGGCACCATCTCCCTGAATGGTGCATATATACATTTTGCTATTTGTACAGCTTTCTTTTTATTAAATAATGAAGATGCATATAATTTTAATCGTCGTTAACCATTGATAACCATTTAAAATTTACAATCGACTCACGAATAATAGAAAAAAACGTCGAAATATTACCTTTCAGAATATCTATATCTATGTAATAAATGTGAATGCCAATGTGTCCCACTGTGTCACACTTTCAATTAAAAGGACGCAACTCTATAACTTTCAATAGCTCATGTTACAAAAATGTTGGATTCCCAAGTTTTCATTACTGCGATTGTTTCCGGCGATGTTTTTAAGTGATTTTTTGCAACGAATGTTTTTGTAAGATAACAATTTTTATAACTTGGAAATAAATTTGAGCATAATCGAAATAAAATGCGACAGTCACCCATGAAATAAAAGTAATTGTTTGTACAGAAAGTAAGAACCTACGCACACAAATTGTCTTTAAAAAAATATTGTTAGTACGGAAAGTAAGGACCGACTTATATTAAATTGTCTCTAAGTGGCGGCAGAAGAATTATCTTTGAACTTTTAAAAGTTAAGCTTAAATATTAATGCAATACTTAAATGCAGCGATCAATTTGGAGTTCTTCTGTAGGGTATTGTTGCCTGTCGCATACGGCAGCAGTATGCCTCGCAAAAAGAAATCTCCGCCAGCTGAGGACTAGATTGCAATCAAAAGAGCAAAGGTTGCAGTGGGGAAAAGAAAGTCACGTGCAAATGAAAACCCAGATCAAACAGCAGCCACGAGAGCATCTAGTACTGAGAATATGCAAAGAATTAGGCACTCTTAAACTCCTGAACCAATCAAGAGACCTTCGCTGGAGCTACTTTGAATGTTGCCCAATAGTATACCATAAATGTCACCCTCTTTCGAAACGAAATCACGTGTTCAAATGGTGTTAACTTTTGTAGAATTACAATATCGGACTGCCACTTAACGGACCAGAGTACCATCAGACAACACATTAATAAGCAGTATAATGATCATAGTATCATTAGACATTTCTGTAAGTAGCACATTTTTCAGACCGTTTTTCTTGTGTGCCCTAGATATTCAATATGGCTTTAAAACGTCATCGCCATGCTATTTTCAATATTTCAGCATAATTTATTCAGTCCTGTTGTACAAATTCTGCATAGTTGTTAGTAAAAAGATCCTTTTTGTTGTTTTTCTAATGGTTAATTTCATTTTATTTCTCATGTCATCATTTCCTTGTGTAAATCAAATATAGACGATTGCGTGAATTTCCCCGAAAATGCAAAGCTTGGATGACGTAACAGCAATTATGATGTAACAACAAAGTAAACCCGAGAAATTTCGAATGAAACAAAACAAGTACAGTTGACCACTGATGACAATTCCAGAACAACGTAACTATAAATAATTTCTTTCTATCCTCTGCCATCTGCAATGATGGAGAAAGCATTACCTCGAACCATCGCCAGTGAGACACGCTGCAAGAGCCACTCCGTTTCGCGAGGCTCGTCCCTTAATCGAGACGCAATCGCGCCAATCCACCGAAGGAACGCCATCGAACGAGGGCCAAAACCCCTGAAGTCTCCACTGCCACAGGAGTAAAAAAAAAAAATCTATCAGCAAGGGAAGAATATTTAACTATTTTTTTTATCTCTGCATCCCGGGCGACGGATCCTGGCTCAACCTCGGAACTGATCAAATTTATTCAGTTAGTGCTGCTACGGTCACTATCGCAGAAGCGTGGTTCAGGGTGACATTCAAGGCAGCATCTTTCCAGTCTCTTACCGGAGATGTTGAGATTACCCTGTCGCTTCTCTCAGAAGTTAATGACTTCCAAGGACCTACTACCTGTTGTTTGAATTGAGAATTTTCCTTCTCATGGAATGGTTGCGAACTAAGGCATAAGACCAAGTCTGTCCTGCTATTTAGTGGGGTATAAGATTAACACGTAAGTGAAAGTAATGAACTAGAATTCGAAATCGGTTCTCCGATTTCTATATCAGAACCGCTATCCATTACTCCACCGTGCCTCCACTGTCAACGGTTACCCCACAATAAAATGTAACAGAAGATTGCTTTATTCTCAATGGTTACCCTACAATGAAACTATCTTGTCTGATATTTGAACATTTTTAGGGATTAAGGTAAAAGTAACTATAACCCTTCTATGGGGAAAACAAATAAGATTTCCGTAAATTTTGAGAATATTGATTTGAAAGATAAAATGTTCTGTTCGATATAAGGTATAGCACAAATAGGACGTCACTAACAAAAATAACGACCGGAAGTGACTCCATCTTGGGAACTTTCTTAAGAGGTGAGCGAAAAAAACGCAACCAATGGCAGTCGATCTTTTCGAAAAGAACCGAAGATATGAGCAACAACAAACTTTTAGAAAAAAAAAAAAAAGTTACTTAAACTTAGTATCAGGTAAACAACAAGGAGATATGTTAACACCAAGATGAAATATTTAGGGGATATAATGAGGAAAAAAGGCTCGAGAAATATGATACACATACATAGGCCCTGCAAGAAAATTAGGCGGTCAATCCAAGAGCAAACGAAAGTAAGAATATATGCCGATTTCTTTTTATCCTTATGGACGATTATGAAATAGCTGTGAAGGGTAACTCATTTCGAATTGTATTCCCATTTTACGTATTTTAATTAACAGCTTACCGCCTCACACTCAGTTTAAACTTGAAACTCATATATGAAATATAATAAGCATCCGTTAACCTTGTCAAAAATTCATTCTTGTTGTGAGATGGGCGATGTTATATAACGGTCGTGCGTGGCCCAGTCAGCATGGCACCTCTATCGACCGCCTCAAGACCCATAGGAATAGAGGGCATTACATTTGATGCCAGTTTAGCGGCATGAGTTGCCGGAACGTTGCCACTGATTTGGGACATTACTCTGGATCTACTGTCTGTATTTACTTCCATAACCTCTCCGTGTTTCAAATTCTTTCGTAGAAATCTTGACTTTATTCTACACGGTAGACATTTTGAAACAATTTTTGTTTCAAATGCAAAGTAAAATAAAGACTAAAACTTTATCGTGGCTGTGTACTGATATTTTAAAAATTTTAGTAAAAAAATCTTAACATATATTAAAGCCATTGCTACTTTTCTTTTTCTTGTTAATTTGTTTTCATTGCTGAAAAGAGGTCACAAAATACTGTTTACTGAATCCTGTAGACAGAATGAAAAAACAAAACAAAAAAAAAACAAAACAAATGAAGGCAGACTGAAATTCCCCCATCATTATCGCTTACATCATAAAAATGCGTGGCTGGCTTTATTCATTTGTTTTTCTGTTGTTATCTTGTGAGAGAATCTAAAACGAAATTCGTTGCTAATCCAGTTTAGACATCTCGTTATTGTTTACAACATAAAAGCAATTCCTCTTCCAATAAAATCCTGTCTTGCAAGTTTACGGCTTTCTAAAAAAAAAAAAAACCTGGATTTTTTTTTTTTTTTGCTCTTCATACCAAATTAAACCAGATCATGCCCTGACCAATAAGATCGACGGGATACTACGCTGGGTCCTTGGTGGCATTTCTTGGGGGCAAGAGCAGGGACTGTTATCGGTGCTTATCTCTTTTATTTCTTGAAGCAATTAGGTGGTGAACAAATTGAAAAACCCTCAAAAGTTGAGTATATGGTAATGATAATATTAACCGTTTCCTTATCATTCGGCATTCATTGACCGAACAGCTTATACTACTGCCGTTTCATTAAATCTGTCTCTTAAAATAATTTTCCAGGAAATTAGGATTCTCACATGTCATTCTTTCTAGTGTTGATGGGGTTTCCTTCTTAACCTTTTAGTCGAAATAGTGGGAAATATATATCATTATTTTCTTTTCGAGTTACATGTGCTATCCACTTTAGCTGTTACTGCTGCTGAAAGTCCTCAGGTGATGTGATTTGTATTATTTAGTACAGTTCTTTGTTTGTGATTCTGTAGCATTAGTCCACAAGGTTCAAACAAGTATGGTCCACCAAGAAGGCATCAAAGACATTTTTAACTATTAATCTTAGAAAGCGGTTGTATACAATTAACACTTTATATGGTTTCTAAACAGGTTTGGAGCCATGCATTACATCCATATAAAAGTCACAACCTGACAAGGCTATTTAAGAACATGAGCCGAGTTTTCAGGTTGATGTTTTGGCTTTGTATTAGTTTTCGTTTATGGGCAAATCCCTCTCTAGCACAGCCTAGTCTATGTTTAATTCTATTATCTCCTCTACTAAATTTCTTATAAATGATCAATACACTGAGGTACTTAAAGTATTTGATATTTACTAAATCCACTTCCTATTTCTATGACGGATTCATAGTTATGCCATTACTGCTTTTATTCCAAATCCAGATCATAGTTTCTGTTTTGGAAATGCTTATTTTGAATGATATTTCTTGGAAAACTTGGTAGAGTACGTTAGAGTAATAACCGTCCCCTCTAAACTCATCATAACAATTATCCTGCTAATATTTATATAAAAGTCAAGGGGGGTAAGCTAGGTTACATCGATGGGAAAGGGACCGAATCCGAGATGCAAGGTCAGGACCAATAACATTGCAGATATCATCTGTGGATTTTATCAGGAATCTTTAAATACATAGCAGAAACACCAGACCAAATGTGACTGCAATATTCAATGCATGGACAAATGGTAAACTCATAAATGTGTAACATAGATTCTGACCAGAAAAATTGTTTAACACGACACAGTAAATCAACTGTCCTAACAGCGAACCTAAAAAAATGATTCGATATAATTATTCCACTTCATGTCAGCGGAAAACATTAAATCGAAGAGATTCAAGGAGCCACTCTCTTTAGGGTTGGTTCCAGCCTTGCTGTTGGAAAGCAACAAAACTGGCTGTCTCAGACGATTAAAAGAGTTCTGGTTTGTTTTAAAGACGTTAAGTTTAATGAGCCATTTTTGCCGCAGATAACAACAGATATTTGGACCTTACAGATCAAGAGAAGACGAAACAAGCAAAAGGTTTTTACAGAAGGAAACTTTGAATATATTTTTGAACAATACTATAATCTTTAAAGACGATATTGAATAAGACGGTAGACATTAAAGCAACGTTATACCATATTCTGAGTTCAGAGGGATATTACTATCAAACAATACTGATGTTTAGATGTAGTGATCGGGGAAGCGTTATCCTGGGGGTCGGTTTTACAAGGTCGTTGTTCGAGAAAAGAAGCTGCTCGAATTGAACCTACATCTCACCAAGAGAATATGAAGGGAATGACGATAGTTTGCTACAGAGTGTGTGGATAATAATCGTTTAGTGATACGCGCCTTACTATTTAACCCATAGATGGAGAGAAGAGGTGGATTCCTACTTTTCCGAAGTGTATTTGCGCGTAAGTGAATACAACGAACCTAACGGGAATTGAAATTCGGCTCTCAGATAAACAATTCTGAGCTGTTATCAATGATACCATCCGCAAAACCAAGCTTACAGCACCTGGTATTCCGAAGCGATCACCCATGTAGGTACTGATCAGGATCAACGCTGCTTAACTTCATCGATTGTACAGGAAGCAGTGTTTCAGCGTGAGGACTTGGATGACTTAACCGTCCGGGGATATATTGAGGGCAATCACGACATGAGAAGATAGCGAAGAAGATTACCAACACTCTTATATGAATTGATAATGAAAGGAGACGGTGAGTGGCTTGGCAAATGAAGAAAAACTGCTGAGAGACACGGTCGCCCATTTCCTAAATAGAAGTTAAGAAGACAATTAAAAAAAAATTATGATATTTGGTCGGTTCCCGTGAAGCTGGTTAGGCAGAGAACTTTATATAATTCCTCACATTAAATTTATTCTTAATGTTTTTTTTATTTTCATCGATAGATTGTTATTTTATTTTTATCGATAGAGTGTTTCTTTTTTTACGGATTATGAACCCTTTGCAGGTTATTTAAAGCCAGGAAATATTTTCATATTGTAAGAATGTTTTATAAGTTAATAATGTTTTAGTTATACAAGTGTTACTAATTAACCCATAGTTAGGGGGAGAAGATGTGAATTCATACGTTCCGCAACTGGAATAGGAACCCGGCTCACCGTTTAATACTTCCGAGTTCTTATCTACTATACCATCCGTATATCCAAGCTTACAGCACCTGGTATTCTCAAACGCTCACCCATTTAGTTACCGACTCAGCTTGATGTTGCTTAATTTCAGTTATTATATAAGAATCGGTGTCTCAACGTGATATGATCGTAGGCTCACAAGAAACAGAGATGACAACAAATTGATAGCGTCAGAGAGTAACTTATACGGGGGTGGCTAGATCGATTTAATCGATTTCTATTCGCCAATATATTTCAATCACATTATAGGCTTTGACGTGAGAGGAGATACGGCTTTTCTTTAGAAGAATATCTTTGAAGTTTATTTTATGAGCAATAAAATATGAAAGCGTAACGTAATTACCTTATATATATATATATATATATATATATATATATATATATGAAGCTTTAATAAAAATGAGATAGTTTAGACTGATACATTTTCCTATTTATTCGTTATCTTATCATTCATATATATATATATATATATATATATATATATGATAAAAATGTGGTTAGTGTTTAGTGGTCAAAAAGTGCTCAATATCAGGGATAGAGCATATGTCAATATAAAACTGGACACTCTAATTCATGCTTGAATGCCGTCTTCACGTCATATATATATATATATATATATATATATATATATATATATATATATATATATATGTGTGTGTGTGTGTGTGTATGTATGTATACAGTGTGTCACTATAGTCTGAATACATAGACAAAAATATTATTTGCAAGATACCCGTATATATCAAGAATAATTTTGGGGAAATCTATGAAAAAAGTGCAAACGTTTTTTTTTTTTTTTGTTTTTTCTGTTATCACAATGTGATATACTTAATAATAATTGTGATAAAAGCACAAAATAAAATTAAATCGGCGAAACCAGGTACTTAAAATATATATTTATTGAAAAAAATAAATTTAAATTTAAAATTTCTCTCTCTTCCTGCGCACTTGTTGCATTAACGCAAACATCACTTTAGTCCTAAAGGATGAAACAAGTTACACGAAAATGTCGAAGATTTTATAGGTACCACCACAGAAAACGCAATACTTAAGAATGAATTTTGTGAAATGAAAATTATTTCTTGAATCTTTTATTTTGTTTTAATTTTAAGCTAATTGATTAAATATATTTGCAATAAGCAAAATAGTTTACTGTCTTTCGAAAACTAATTTAAAACTAATTTAAATTGTCTGGAAGGATTTTTTTCCAAATACTTGATTAGCGCCATTTTTACCCGTCTTTCATCGTAATGTAATCCTCTTTATTAAAAAAAATCATCCAAAAATAAAACAGATTTTCTTAAATGTTGATTTTGAGGAATATTAATTAATCTAAAGTATAATTAATCTGGCTTGAAACAAATATTTACTTTTAGTTTTAAATGTCACAGAAATGCATTTGTAACTCAGGGGTATCTTTTTATTTAAGCAGTTGATTGATTGATGTTTATCTAATGTTGTTCTATGGAGACATTATCCGTAAAAAAAAAATATTGAATATAACGTGATATATAATTTCTACGTACTCAGTAATCTTAAAAATTTAATATAAAAATATCCGTAATCTAATGTTTTATTGAATTTTATATATCTCTGGCTTTATATTTGCTATAGTTATCCCCCTTGTTTTCTGAACATGCCATGTGTAGTCCTCAGTATCTACAAAAAACAAAAACAAAAAAAAAAAACGTTTATACACGTGCAAAAATCCAAATTCTTTTAAAAATATTGAAGTGAAATTATTAGGATTTTAAAAATATTTAAAACTAAAGAAATTATTCTAATAAAATTCTTAAAAATTTAAAACAGTTCATGTAAAAATTCATTATTCATCGATTTTTGATTTATTAAAGCAATAGAATCCCTAATCTATCTTATTTATAAAATAAATTGAAAGCTTTTCTAATTAAACAATGTCATAGTTTTATTGCATTTTTTTAATTTTACGATTCAGTGGATGGTGTTTCTGTTTGTCTAAAACAAATTGATGGTGTAAATTCTCCAAGTAGTCCTGCTTTTAACTTATATAAATATGAATCGGGCGGAATTATAATTTCTAAAAATTTCATAAAATTAAGTAAGGTTAACGATGTAAATAAATAAATAAATTTACAAAAATGTTCTAAAAAAAAAAAGCTAATAATTAGTTTTATTCTGAATAAGTCCTGAAAATTTCATTGAATTTCGACAATTATTTGATTTTTGAAAGAATTTCAAATTTTGTTTTTAATCGCTAGAAAGATTTCCCATACTAATCTTTGTCCCCTGCCGCCTCTGACATAAGAAAGACAAGATTTTTAACCAAAATTTTGAACGTACTATAAAGGATTACAAAATTTAATAAAATAATCTAAAAATACTTTGGAAAGATAACAGAAATATTTTGAAAATAAAACTTTTATTTATCAAGTTTGGAGCCTTTTTCATGATGGTATAAAACTTGTTGCTATCAATGCTGTTTGAATTTAGAATTATCTTGCCTTTAGAATGATTGCTACCAAAAGCAACAGAAACCAGTCTCCGTTTTTATTTAATCTGTAGCTGAGGACAAGCGGAGATGAATTGAATTCATATTTTACTCAACGGCGTTTGTGTGAAAGCGAACGCAACAGATATTCAGTTTTCTGATTCCGCTTTACGTGTATAAGTGAACACCATCAATAATAACGAACAAAATTTGAGTTGAATTTCCAGTAGAATAATTTAATGAAAAAAAAAAAGAGGCAAATAGTAGTCTTTTGCGAAACTATTTGTTTCAAAATCTCATTGCAAATGAGATTCCGCATTTAAAACATTTCCAGCAATTTTGGAATATTCGTCGAGAAAATGAGTCTTTGGGTGGAGAATAAAATCCAATAAAACATATGAGACGTCGTTAAAAAAATACAAAAAAAAAAAAAAACGAAAAAAGCGGGAAGCAATAACATCGGACAGATGATAAAATATTAATTCCTTAAAAGACATTTCCGCTTTTTTATTGCCAATAATATTATGAAGCAAAAATGATTTACTTCCAATAGCATCGAAAACATACGCTATGCCTGTACATTCGTCCGTTTTATATCTAGACTTCTATTCATATTGATACATACTTAAATACATACTCATATGCGCATCCATATGATATATAAACGGATACAGAGGCACATATGCAGGCTGCGATGGGTAAATTGTCGCCATTTTATACAGTATTTACATTAGTCGGACTATTGTCCTCATCTTTGTCACAACGTTTCGGCCGTTGTACGCTCCGGCCTTCTTCAGGTGGTTGAAATTTCGAACTGAACCCTTTATTTCGATCACTGGGGTAGATTGTTCTAGTTCCACGTGCTATGTTTGATGGATGTCATCAGTTATCTCCTGCTAATTTTCCCTCTGAAAGTTCTCCACTGCCTTAACCAGGAATTGAACTCACCTTCTTTGGGTCTGTCACTGGATCTAACCAATGCCTTTATCCACTGTGCCATGAGGATATCTGGGTATGAACTTCTGAGTATTATAAACCTAATGTTTTTCAGCATCATTTTTACCAGTGCTCATATTGCAATTTTTGCTGTTATCATTGCATGTCTTTACCAGAGTTCATATTGCAACTTTGCTATCATTGCTTTTCTCTGGCACTCCTTATTACTGGTTCCCATATTGTATTTATTTCTATGCTTGGTCGGCTCAGGAGATTTTTTGTGGCCTAGCATATGTGCTGATTCATAAGTTTACGAATTTTCCAATGGTGTTCCCTGTCTATGATCTCAACATGATCCCCAGAAGGCGGTGATCTCCTTCTCTTTCCATATGTGGTCAGCCACGCATGATTTTTTCTACTTCTCCTCTCGTTACAGCTTTCTGGTGTTCTTGAAGCCTTACCTTGAGGGGGCGGCCTGTCTCTCCTTTATATTCCTTTCCGCAGCTGCACGGGATAGCACACACACAGTCTTTAGACATGTTCCTCTCTGTGGGGGGTCTCACTCGTGAGAGATACCTGCGAAGTGTTGTCACGCTTTTGAAGGTTGTCCTGATGTTATATGGACCGCAGATCCTTTGTATTTTCTCTGATAACCCCTTCACATAAGGCAGGCAGACTGTTTTTCTGAGTGTTGTTGTCCTCCTCCTCCTCCTCCTTTTTGTGCCCGCCTATCCCAGTTTTGGGGGCTGCTGCCATGTACCCAGGGTAGTTGTTACGTTGTAGGGTACTACTTATACTGACCAGTTCCTTATCTAACGTCTCTGGATCGCCACTTATGACTTTTGCTCGGTGTTGTAAGCATCAGACGATCCCTTTCTTTACGCTGTATGGATGGTGGGAGTCGAAATTGAGGTACTGTCCGGTGAATGTTGGTTTACGGTATACGGATGTCTTGAACCCATGCTCTGTTCGAGATATTAGTACATCCAGGAATGGGGTGAGTTGTTACTCTCTTTCTCCATTGTGAACTGTATCGAAGGTCTTATTGAGTTCACATGATCCAGTAGAACCTGGACATCTTCCTGATGTGGCCAGAGTATGAAGGTGTCATCTACGTACCGTAACCATATAGTTGGCTTTAGCGATGTAGACTCTAATGTCATTTCTTCAAAGTATTCCATGTATATATTCGCCATTGCTGGTGATAATGGCGA